TCTCTGTCCCATGTGAACTATTTAATAGGAAATGTCAGAGAATTTCCCAAATGAATGTTTAGACCTCCTTCCCAAGCATTTATAACCCAGCTAAGATGAGACATCACCTCAACTGTTACTTATGAAATTGACTTCACTGCAGATCTTCAAACCATTTCAACAGTCTTTTTCCTTAGTGTATGCATTGAAGAAAACCTCAAACCTCTGCAGAAAGTTGGCATGCCTAAGATTTTTTGATATCTTGTTTTTGAATCTTATATTGGGGAATCCTTAAAGCGAGTATGTGCAGCTACTTAAAATAGGAAAAGTGTGCCACCTTCTGGTGTTGAATGTCTGTTGATTCAGTTCAAGTCTACCTGTTTTAATTGATCCTATCTGCTCCTATTTCACATATATTTCATGAAATTTAGACCAAAGGAAAAACACATTTTGTATCTTTTCAGTAATTTTTAAAATTTGAAATAATTTCAACAGACTTTGAAGCATTGCACATTTTGCTTAAATAAAGTAACATTGTTTCCTTTGGTGTGGGATTAATGAAAGATTTTGTAAGTACAGTTCCATGAAGATTTCTACCCAAGAGGACTTCATGGGCAGCATGGTAAAGAACATATGTACAAGGCTAGGCAGGACACAGCAGTGAGAAAACACAGAGCCTGTTCAGTGAAAGTAAAGCCTGTTCAGTGAAAGTAAAGGGTCAAGGGTGATGTGTAGTAGCAGGGAGTTGTATTGCTGGGGAAGACAATCAAATGATCACAGCTTCATCTGATGAATTCTAGCTTGAGTCACAGCATGCAGGATGAAGTGGAGCAGATAGAAATGAGATCGTTGCAGCAATGGAGGCAAAAGTGTGCAGGCAGAGTGCATACAATTCAGCAGGAACATCGTTAAGAAACCAATAGAGAAATAGACAGAGGGCATGAATTGTTAACTTTCAAGATAAAGGTATATGACACATGCTGCTGGCTTCAAAAGCTTGTATTTAACATTTACCGTACACATTTCTGACTTCCAGCTCCTAGCAACTTGTTTGCTAAACCTCAGCAATATTCCCAAGTGTCCCCTTTTTCTTTTTTTTTTTTTGAAACAGAGTCTCACCCTGTCACCCAGCCTGGAGTGCAGTGATGTGTGATCTCGGCTCACTGCAACCTCTGCCTCCCAGGTTCAAGTGATTGTTCTACCTCAGCCTCCCGAGTGGCTGGTACTACAGGAGCATGCCACCACCCCAGCTAATTTTTTTTTTGCATTTTTAGTAGAGACAGGGTTTCACTTGGTTAGCCAGGATAGTCTCAGTCTTCTGACCTCATGATCCACCCACCTCGACCTCCCAAAGTGCTGGGATTACAGACGTGAGCCACCGCACCCAGCCGGTGTCCCCTTTTTCTAGATATTACCAAGGATGTGCATCATATATGTGAAAGGAAAATATCTTGGGCCCCCAAAATCACTAAGCTAAAAGGAAAATTCAAGTTGGAAACTACTCAGGGCAAACCTGCCTCCCATTCTACTCAGTCATCCTTCTGCTGAGATAGATGTGTATCTGATTGCCTCCTTTGGAATGGCTTATCAGAATCTCAGAAAATGCAACCATTTGTTTCTCATCTACCTGTGCCCTGGAAGCCCCCTCCTTGCTTTGACTTGTCCCTGCCATTCTGGAGGGAACCAATGTACTTCTTATATCATTGATTAATGTCTCCCATCTCCCTAAAATGTATAAAACCAAGCTGTGCCCCAACCACCTTGGGCACACGTCATCAGGACTTCCTGAGGCTGTCATGGGAGTGTGTCCTCAACCCTGGCAAAATATACTTTCTAAATTAACTGAGACCTGTCTCAGATTTTCAGGGTTCACTTATATAATAAGCCATGTTTGCTGTAGTTAGCACCTAGCATCCTCCATGAAGGCAGAAACCCACAATCTCCACAGGACCAGACATAATGAGATAAAGATTTAATGTCCTTGGCACCCAAACTCTACTTGAGGAAATGGCCTTTATTTGGAGTGCTCCCCTGATAACCACTGGTGGAACAGAGAGCTGAGAACACTTTAAGGGAGCTGGGTGGTGCTGTGGAGGGGGAGGTTGGCAGTCACTAGAGAGGAGGGGAGAGGGTGGGGCGAGCAAGGGCAGCTGGGGAAGGTGAGCTGAGAGCCGCTGCCGGTGAGGAGGCGGGGAAGGTGGGACTTGTGAGCAGCATACAAGAGGCTGAGATTCACATCTCAGTTGTATGGAACTGAACTTGAAGGCAGGCAGTGCTGTGATAACTTAAGCTTTTAGGAAATCATAGAAGTCACAGAGTTTTGGAGTTGCCCAGACCACAGAAATAGGAGTTGGAGGCAAATCCTATTCAGATCTCAAGAGCCAGGGAGGTTCCAATACCTGGCAGTGCAGATTTCATATCTAGTCTGGGTGGTGGGCAGTGGCAGTGAGAACCTTCTCTCAAAGAAGACGGTAGATTAAACTCTTCTCCTGCTGAGCCCACTTGTTTTCTTACTGTCTGTGGTGGCTTTGACTCAAGCAGAGTTGAATAGTTGTGATAGAGACTGCATCACCTGCAGATTTACTATCCAGCCCCATTAGCACATTTGGCAACTCCTGGCCTCGAGTATTAATGAGCCTTTCAGTGTGCAAAGAAAGGCCTGTATCCAGGCTGGGGGAAAGACAAACTTCTCAAGAAGAATGTAAGTACCGAAGTCACAGAGAGAGCAGGAGGGCCATGGAAGAGTGGCTCCAGCCCCCATGGCAGTCACCAGCACTTAAAAGGTTTCCACGTGGCGGCTTCAGTGATTAAGCTAGAACAAAGTTAACTGATTAACTTTCAAGAAAGATCGGAGAAGGGGCTGGTCTTGGCTAGAAACCTTGGCTCTACCACAGAAAAGCAATGATAAGGGAACTCTAGAGTGAAAACTGTGCAGAGGCCTAGAAAGGTGAGGACAGAGGGACTTTGCGGGCAGGAATGAGATGAGGCTACAAATCTCTTGCTCACATGCACCTTTGAGCACTCATTGGGGAAGTCTGATAGCAGTATTAGAAATTCAAGGAAAAAACAAAGCTGGTTTAGCAACATAATGTGATTAAAAGACTCTTTTCACCGGAATCCTTTCATTCTCTCCCTGCTCACCAAATCCCCTTCCCTTCTACATTATTATTAACCCTTGGAAACTCAGCTTGAGAATGACTGGCCCCAGCCCTCTCCCAGCACCAACTCTCTGCATTGGCACAGCCCCCATTCCAGACTGGTCGGGATGTCCCAGCTGTGGCACAGATGGTTATTTGCCACAATGCCTCTTCTCCCTTTGTTCGTTGGCAGGCCAAGTGGATACATGGCCTCCCAGAATAAAGACTACACCTCCCAGCTGATATGGTTTGGATCTGTGTCCATACTCAAATCTCATGTCAAACTATAATCCCCGATGTTGGAGGTAGGACCTGGTGGGAAGCGACTGATCATGGAAGTGGATTCTTCGTGAATGGTTTAGTACCTTCCCTTTGGTGCTGGTCTCGCATAAGAGTCCTCCTGAGATCTGTTTAAAGGTGTGTAGCACCACCCCCTCGCTCTGTCTTGCTCCTGCTCCCAGGTAAGACACCTCACTCCCCTACCCTTTGCCTTCTGCCATGATTGGAAGTTTCCTGAGGCCTCCCCAGAAGCAGAAGCCGCTATGGTTCCTGTACAGTCTGCGGAACCATGAGCCAATAAGCCTTTCTTTAATGCGAGAATAAACTAATAGACCAGCTTCCTTATGTGTGGCCTGAAGACTTCATTCTGATCAACAGGAAGCAGACATGTTGTGTAACAACTCAAAGCAAGCCTTACCAGACAGCTTGTGTATGTCCTTTGTCCCTTCTTTCTGCTTGCTGTTTTAGAATATGAAAAGTGGTAACCAGAGCTCCAATCTCTGTCCCTAGATGGCATGCTAAGTAGCCACAACATCCAAGATGGACCTCTGGGTCCCTAAAGTGGCAGAGCCCCCATGCCTGGGGCTTACCTCTAGACTACTGTGCCTAAGAAATACCTCTCATTTCAACTACCGTTTTTCCCCCAGGAGATGAAGCCATGTTTCTTTCTCCCATTAGTACTAACACACCAATTTCAACCAGGATGTTCCTGAGAAGGTGCTCAAAAAACAATCCCAGCACTTCAGGAAGCTGAAGCAGGAGGATCACTTGAGCCCAGAAATTCAAGACCGGTCTGGGTGACATAGTGAGACCCTATCTCTACAATTTATTTAAATTAGCTGGGCATGGTGGTGCACATCTATAATTCAAGTTACTGGTGGGGAGGGGGTGAGGTGGATTATTTAATCCCAGAGGCTGAGGCTACAGTGAGCCATAATTGTGCCACTGCACTCCAGCCTGGGTAACAGAGCAAGACCCTGTCACAAAAAAAGAAAAAAAAAAAAAAAACATGGACAGCAATTACGTTATGAAGAGGCTTCTGTGCCCTCCAAGCACCTACATTCATCTCTCTTTTGTTGATGTTCTAGGCTAAGTATTACCCAGGTTAGAATTTGGCACAAAGGAGACAAATCCTAGAAAGATTTTAAAGCTACTGGGAAAAGGTTTTGAACACTTCAATTTTTAATATCACAATTGATATGGTTTGGATTTCTGTTCTTGCCCAAATCTCATGTCAAACTGTAATCCCCAATGGTGGAGGAGAGGCCTGGTGGGAGGCGACTGGGTCATAGGACAGATTTCCTCCTTGCTGTTCCTGTGATAGTGAGCTCTCATGAGATCTGGTTGTTTAAAAGTGTGTAGGCCCTCCCCAAGCTCTCTTCCTCCTGCTCCAGCCATATAAGACATGCCTGCTTCCCCTTCCCCTTCCACCAAGATTGTAAGTTTCAGGAGGCCTCCCCAGCCATGCTTCCTGTACAGCTCCTTTCTTTAGAAATTACCCAGGTTCAGGCAGTTCTTCACAAAAATGTGAGAACAGACTAATGAAACAATCAACTCATGGCTCTTAACACAAAAAATATAGGTAAGTTCAAAATTAACATGATGTTACCACATACAACTTTTCTTTATTCTTGAGAAAAAAAAGTCCAAGATCAAAGGAAAGCACCTGTTTTTAGTTAAACCCTAGTATCTTTCTCAGGGCTCACTGCAGTCTGGCCATATGTCAAGCAGGTCTGTCCAACGGCTTTGAACATAGACTTTTGCACTAAAACTTTAAAAACATTACTTGAATTAGGACCACACACACACACACACACACATACACCCCCACCCTAAATTCTAAGTGAACACAACTATTGCTGAGACCCTGAAACTTCAGGAAATAAAGATGGTTTAAAACTCAAAACTGCTCATCAAAATAATCACGCAGGTCAGCCACCACTGCAGAACCATCACTGCTCAGAGGAATTGAGTCAGCAATGACTGATCTCATCATCTCTTCATTAGCACATAAGCGGTTCAACTTGGGATAAGCAAGTAGTCTCTGCAGAGGCACAAAAAATTTATCTCCAACACAAAAGGGTTTGGGAGAGTTCTCTATCTTAGCTTTCTCAACCTCTGTGAAGACTGGTCCAAAGCATGGGCCGGGGGCCTTTGAGTCTTTGGGCTTATCACCCCATTCCTCATCCTGTTTTTTCTGCCGTGGCAGGTGGCTCACTCTCAAGCTTTCCACTTGTTGGGACACCTCATTAACCAACACAAGTTTAAAGAACTTTTCCTGCTGTAAGCTCGGGTACGAGGTGGTAAAAACCTAAAGGGAAAAAACAAAACTCTTAGAACATGGAAAATTTTTTGAAGCTTTTTTGCCATGTAAGAATAAATGTACATACTGAATATCTGTCAGATCCTACTAATCATACATGCCTCATTTACAATGGGAATCAAATTACTGACACACAGACATTAACTATCTGATGCTAATACTCCATGTCTCCCAGCTAGGTTTCTACCAAGTCACACAAACCCAGTATTCCTACTTGCTATTACAAGGGAAAGGGCAAAAAATGAAAAATGGTTCAGTTAAAAGGGAAAATATGGCTAAGTGCAGTGACTCACACCTGTAATTTCAGCATTTTAGGAGGGTTGGGCAGGATTGCCTGAGGATGGAAGTTCAAGACCCACCTGGGCAACATAGTGAGACCCATAGTCTCTATGGAAAAAAAAAGTAATTAGCTGAGCATGGTGGTACATGCCTGTAGTCCTAGCTACCTGGGAAGTTCAAGTGGGAGAATTGCTGTGTCCAAGAATTCAACGCTGCAGTGTGCCATGATTGTGCCAGTGCACTCCACCCTGGGTGACAGAACAAGACCCTGTTCCTAATTAAATAAATTTTTCAAAGAATGGGAGGATGTGTTTCTTCTTCTTGCCTCTTTAAACCCAAAGGGTCTAAGAAGTTTGTAGGTTCAGTCCTAAGAGTCATGTCCTAAGCCAACTGGAGAGGAACTGCTGCTGGCCTTCCTTTTTACTACTGATAATCCTAACAGATTACAAAAAGAGTCTGCTAAAGTACTGCTTTGAAGTATTCTAGGTGTTTTTGTGTAGAGATGGAGATCTCATTATGTTGTCCAGGCTGACCTCGAACTCCTGGGTTCAAGCAATCATTCTGCCTTGGCCTCCCAAACTGCTAGAACCACAGGTGTGAGCCACTATACCCAGCTGCTCTGAAGTATTCTAAGACGACTCCAGGAGACCATTGCCTTCAATGTACCTTGCAACATAACAAAAGGCCAGGCAGTCTAAAAGGATACCATAGGCTAACTCTGACAGCAGTCATGGGGCCTGAAAATTTTACACTTATCTCTACTTTGGGGATTCTTACCCCTCAAAAAGTTCACCACCCTAATGTATCTCTAGCCCTGACAGATACCTCACAAAGAATACTCACAGCTTTATAAACATGCTGATCATGCTGCTCTGAAACACATGATTCCATTGCCTTTCCTCCATTTTTCTGGAAGATTCCTATCTGGGTACAGTATCCAACATTCTCAGCTCCAGCTGGTGGTTCCCCAACACCAGTAAACTCCACGGAGTAATCATAGCGATTTGCCACAGATAAAGCCCTGAAATCAAAATAAGGACAGCAATCATTTGTCTAAATGTAGAGCTACTGTTAAATAAAGAATGATTTCTGCTCAGCAGTACAATAGAACACAAAAAATACAAAGAAATAAATACTTCCAAGTTTCAAATTCCTAACCACTAGTGTATTTATTTCTATGACAAACCAAAGCAAGGACATAGTGTCAGTTTCCAATTTACCCTAAGAGTACGGAAGAGAAAAGGGACATCATGGACAGGGTGTAGGGATGAAGAAGGAAACCACAAGGGCTCAAACCGGCTACCCATTTGGGTTTGCAATTACACCAGAAAACATGACCAATCTCCAGGAGATACCCCGGGCCAGGGGCCTGAGGCTCACTCTCACTGCCCCAAACCTTCCCTCTGTTTTGTTCCTCATCTCCATGCCAATACTGCAGATGCCTTCACATAAAAGTAACCACAGACCCTCTCCACGCTTGCCCAAATGACCACACACCCTGTCCATACTTGCCCAAAATGCAATGGTCGCTTTGTGATCTTATTACACACTAAGTCACAGGTTGGAAATCAATTTTATTGGAAGAAAGTACAAAACAATTTAGGCAATATATGTATATCAACATTTATTTCCTAACATTTTAAACTCCCGCAGGATCCCAAATAAACAAAAATCCTTCTGAACTTACCAGGTTTGAAACTCCATTCTGGTCCACTCAAATTTATGATCTGAATCTCTTAAGGTCACTGATGGGAACAGGGGATTGAATTCAGAGTTTGGTGTGCTGATGACAATCATGGATGGAGATAGGTACCCAAATACCACTTCAGGAAATCTGGCCAGATCACCTGAATCCAAATGTTCTATTCTAAAATGGTTAATGAGAAAGATATAATAAAATCTAGCTTCACTTGCACCTAGTTTTCTAATTGATTTATCAAAAACAATTTCCATCTGTATATCAATTTCTCCCTTCTTTGAAGATGTAATAATGCTTACATGACCTAAGAACAATTATTCAGGCTGGGCGTAGTGGCTCATACGTGGAATCCCAGCACTTTGAGAGGCCAAGATGGATGGATCACCTTAGGTCAGGAGTTCGAGACCAGCCCAGCCAACATGATGAAACTCCATCTCTACTAAAAATATAAACATTTGCTGGGCATGGTAGCACATGCCTGTAATTCCAGGTACTCAGGAGGGTGAGGCAGGAGAATTGCTTGAACCCAGGAGGCAGAGGTTGCAGTAAGCCAAGATTGCACCACTGCAGCCTGTGCAACAAGCAAAACTCAATCTCAAAAAAAAAAAAAAAAGAAAGAAAAAAAGAAAGGAAAGACCAATTATTCACATATTCTCATCCTTTCCTACCCCTCAACTCCACCTATGATGCTTCCTTATCCAACTAAGGTCCTTTGCTGTGCTCTACAGCTTCATTATCAATACCTCTTAAAAAAAAGTCTCTGAGGTTAAACCTCCCTGATATAATGCATCAGGGAGGACAATATCACTTCTATGATACTCTTGTCAAAAATGCAGTCCCTGAATTTGATAATGAGGAGACACTTAGATTGAGGGACATTCTAGAAAATAGCACATATTCTTCAGAAATATCAAGGGCAAATAGGACCAAGCAGAAAGGCTGCACAGACCTGCTTCAGATTAAAGGAGACCACGCAAACATGACAACCAAATGCATTGTGTGATCCTGGGCCATTTTAAATTTTAGCTAAATTTTAAAATAGCTATAGAAAAACATTACTGGAACAAATGATGAATGGTGAATATGGACTTAGATGAGTTAATAGTACTGTATCAATGTTAAATTTCCTGATAGAGTTATGTGGTTATGGTAAGAAGTCTTTGTTCTTAGAAAATATTTACCAAGGTATCTAGGGGCAACAGGACACAATATACCCAACCTACTCTGAGATGGCTGAGATAAAAAAATACATGTAGAAAACTATATTTAGAGAAAAAGACAAAGTAAATAGGATCAACTATAAACAAGTGGTAAATCTAGGTAAAGAACAGCTGAGAGAATTCCTTGGACCAATCCTGCAACTTCTGTAAATTTGTAACAACTAAATACAACAACTAAATGTTACCAAAACAGAATCTGACAAAGTTTTGCTGCCATCCCATCTAAGTCAGTATATCCTAAGGAAACTAGATTATTGACAAAAATGCTTCACACAGGCCTGAGCTTCTACGTAATTCCCAAGAAAATTAGGAGCCGGCTGGGCGCAGTGGCTTACACCTGTAATGCCAGCACTTTGGGAGGCTGAGGCAGGCAGATCACAAGGTCAGGAGCTCGAGACCAGTCTGGCCAACATAGTGAAATTCCATCTCTACTAAAAATACAAAATTAGTCAGGCATGGTGGTAGGCACCTGTAATCCCAGCTACTCAGGAGGCCGAGGCAGGAGAATTGCTTGAATCCAGGAAGCAGAGGTTGCAGTGGGCCAAAATGGCACCACTGCACTCCAGCCCAGCTGACAGTGCGAGACTCAGTCTCAAAAAAAAGAAAGAAAGAAAGAAAAAAAAAATTAGGAGCCACATTAAGCTGTAGAAAGACAATCTCCTTCCACAGGCTGCAAGGACATCCCCATATCACCACTAGGCCTCTATTTCTCAGCAGGATGGTGATGGGCAGAAACATCATGACCTTTCATCCGGTTATAGGAAGCAGCACTGAAGGTGAACTGATGACCTGTTTCACTAGTCAGTAATGGTCTTCGAGCTGCCAAATCTAGCTGTTTCTTGAGTCTTCTTATTCTACCTGACTTCTTTGCATCACCAGTGCAAATACTACCATAACCGCAATCTAGGGTTATAAACATAACATAATTAGAGGGAAAGTTATTGCTTTATCATATACTGGAAAATAAGAAACGCTGAAATTAAATGAGCTAAGTATTTATTTCAAGAAGTTAGGAAAACACAGCAAATGAAATCCAAAATAAGCAGATGCAAGGAAATACAAAGGGATTTTTATTTTCTTTTTTTGAGACGGAGTCTTGCTCTTGTTGCCCAGGCTGGAGGGCAATGGCTCAATCTCGGCTCACTGCAACTTCCACCTCCCATGTTCAAGAGATTCTCCTGCCTCAGCCTCCCGAGTAGCTGGAATTACAGGTACTCACCACCATGATTGGCTAATTTTTGTATTTTTAGTAGAGACAGGGTTTCCCCATGTTGGCCAGGCTAGTCTTGAACTTCTGACCTCAGGTGATCTGCCCACCTCAGCCTCCCAAAGTGCTGGGATTACAGGTGTGAGCCACCACGCCCAGCTCAGAAGGAAATTTTTTAAAGTAAAACATAGACACACTCTTAAACCTATGACCTAACCAGTAATTCCACTCACAAGTGAAGTAAAATTTGCCTTTGCACAAAACCAGTATGTGAATGTTTGTAACAGTTCTATTTATAATCACCCCAAACTGGAAACAATCCAAATATCTTTAAAATGGGTAAAGAATGAAAAGTGGCACTTCCATACAATGGAATGCTACTCAGGAATTACAAGGGACCAACTACTGACACACAGAAGAACTAACTCTCAAAGCCATCACTGAGTGAATGAAGACTGTCTCAAAGGTTATAAACTATATGATTGTCACATATTCTCAAAAGGACAAAACTATAGTCATGGAAAACAGGAAGGTGACCACAAACGAGTAGTGCAAAATAGGTGTTTGGGGTGATGGACTGTTCTGTATCCTGACCATAGTAATGGTACATTAAACTGTGTGTGTTTAAATTCACAGAACTATACCCCCTAAAAATCTTCAATTTTACTACATGCTACTTTTACATCATCATAAAGTCAAAAAACAAAGTGGGTGTAAATATCTGCTATGTGTATCATGGTTACCAGGCTAATTCCCCTAATATAAAAAGAAAGTATATGAATTAGTAAGAAAAATAGCAACAATCCAATAAGAAAAATTTACAAAAGAAACACATAGTTCAGAGAAATTTTCTGAACTCTGGAACAGGTGAAAATGTAATACAGGAAAAATACAAATTCAAACTACACTGAAATTAAACTTTCCTCCTATCAGACTGTCAAAGATCAAGTTGGATAAGACAACACTGGGTAAGTCACACGGTGAAGGGGTAGGAAAATAAACCCTCCTACATGAGCAATCGGCATGTGAATCAGTACAACTCCTAACGAGGGCAGTTTGGCAAACACTTTCGTGGTGGATGCTGCTAGTTTTCCACCAAATTCTACTCTATTCTTCCTCCATAGTAACAGTTGTCACAGGCATATAGCTGCCCAGTTACAGGATCCATTTTCAGCCTCCTTTTCAGCCAGGTGTGACCACAAACCTAAGTTCTCATAAACGGAAGGTGAATGGAAGAGATATTTGCCCTTCTGGGTCTGGGTCTTAAAATATTTAGCATACATGCCTCTGTGATTTTCCCCTCTCATTAACCAGGAGAATGTGTCTGTGACCCAGCTATGACCACAGCTAGGTTTAATACTCCAGGGGACAGTAGAACAAGACACAGGAATTTGGTTCCTGAGTGACTTCAAGGAGCCAAGCCACTGCCAATCATGGACCAGTCAGTGGTAGGTTCATAACGTGAATGAACTGGTGAATCTGTTAGAGAAAACAGTATGGCAGCTCCTCAAAAAATTAAAAATAGAATTACCATACAATCCAGCATTTCCATTTCTGGATATATACCCAAAATAAGTGAAAGCAGGGCACAAATGGGTATTTGTATACCATGTTCAGAAGAGCATTTTTTTGCAATAGCCAAAAAGTGGAAACAACTCAAGCGTCTATCAACAGATAAATGCATAAACAAGCTACGTTATATACATATACCATGGATGATTCAGCCTTAAAAAGAAGGAATTTCTGACACATGCTACAGCATATGGGTAAACCTTGAAGACACTATGAGAAGTGGCATAGCCAGTCAAGTCTCAAAAGGACAAATAATGCCTGATTCCACTTACAGAGTCAGAAAACAGAATGGTGGCTACTGGGAGGCAGGAACTAGGAGTTGTTAACAGGTGAGTAATTGTTTCGGTTTTGCAAGACAAAAAGTTCTGTGGATGGATGGTGGTGTGGCAGCACAACAATGTTAATGTATTTAATGCCACTGAGCTATACACTTAAAAATGGTTGATGTGGAAAATTGTTATGTGTATTTTACCACAATAAAAACAAAAATAATAGAGGAGGTACACAGATTTTAAAAACTGAAACACTAACTTCAAGGAGGACAAATTGGATATATTTAAGTATGAATGACGAGACCAAAATACGACGAGTAGATTTTCTTATTGCCAGTTGCTGTTCTAAACTTTATATATGGCTTCTTTGTTCTTCAATTTTGTTTCCTATAACTAATATGTTAAATTTGGCAACAGAAAGTACAAAAATACAAAGTAAACTCTCTGCTCTAGAGGAACAGTACATTTTACTAAAAATAAGAAATCAGGCGGGGTGCAGTGGCTCATGCCTTTAATCCCAGCACTTGGGGAGACCAGGAGTTCAAGACCAGCCTGGCCAACATGGTGAAACCCCATCTCTACTAAAAATACAAAAATTAGCTGGGCATGGTGTCACGTGCCTGTTATCCCAGCTACTCAGGTGGCTGAGGTAAGAGAATCACTTGAACCTGGGAGGTGGAGGCTGCAGTGTGCCAAGATCATACCACTGCACTCCAGCCTGGGTGACAGAGTGAGACCCTGTCTCAAAATACATAAATGCATACATACATACACAAATACATACATAAAAAAAATTAGAAATCAACCTGAACACACAACCAGGCAAACTGACCACAGAGCAAGCCCCTTAACTATTAAATGTCATTAAAAAGCACCTATCTTGGGTGTCTAAAAACCAATCCCACTTTAAAAGAAACAGAACTCCTTTGAGAAATAAATTATTCCAGGACTAGAGAAGGAAAAGTAGAAGAGGGGCCTGACACATCTTGGATGTCAGAAAGTGCTCAGGAAAATGAGACCTATCTCTAGGCTCAGGAGCCAGCTCATTGGGGCCCCCACTAGCCAACCCCACTAGACAATGAAGAAGTGCAGAAATAAATCACAAACTATCAAAATATAAGAATTCATGAGTTCACTTACTGATACATAAATAAATAGGGAGAGGGAGTGCTCTTGCTCCTGGTAAAATGCCAACGGTTGACTGGTAAATGTCCAGAGGTAGTACTGGAATAGCAGTAAATATCATTTGCCACCACTGTCATAAAGATTGGGCCAGATAAGAATCACTGATGATGCTAAATCTAGGGGGAAATATGAATGAGTGACAAGGTATCTGCATAGTCTCGATATGTCTCCCTATAAGTTGTAATGAAAAAAGGCAAAATCAAAACAGTAATTACACAGTGGAGCAAACACCTTGACCGGAGGCAGGGGAGAGGGAATCAAAATTAATGTCACCAAGGAGGGACAGATGGACATCATGTGCTTCCAAATGGGAGGCCCAGAGAAGGACTCAGATAACCTCTGCAGTGTTCCGCAGTATTCCAAAGATGCATAAGCTGAATCTAATCAATAGGAGCCCAAAATGAAAAAGTACTCTTGTTAAAAAGGGGGACAGGGGACTCATTACATAAAACCCCTTGCCTTGGAAATAAGCTGAATTTTTCCCTTTTAAGTTGACATGTAATAACTGTACATATTTATAGGGTGCAGAGTGATAGTTTGATATAGGTATACAATGCGTAATGATCAAGTCACAGTAATGAGGATCTCCATCGCCTCATTTATCATTTATTCATGCTAGAAACATTCAAAATCCTCTTCTAGCTCTTCGAAAACACACAATTGTCGTTAACTATATTCACCCTACAGTGCTACAGAATAAAACTTATTCCTCCTATCTAGCTGTAATTTTGTATACATTAACTCCCTATACTCTCCTCCTTGCTACCCTTCCCAGCCAATAATTCTACTCTCTACTTAAATTTGAGCTTATTTTTTAAGCTCCCAGATATGAGAACATATGGTATTTATCTTTCTATGCCTGACTTATTTCACTTAATGTCCTCTAGGTTCATCCATGACAATTTCATACGTTTTTATGGCTGAATAGTATTCCATTGTGCATATATACCACTTTTTTTTTTTTTAAGACAGAGTTTCATCCTTGTTGCCCAGGCTGGAATGCAATGAACTGCAGCCTCTACCTCCCAGGTTCAAGAGATTCTCCTGCCTCAACCTCCAGAGAAGCTGGAGATGTATTTTTAGTAGAGATGGGGTTTCTCCATGTTGGTCAGGCTAGTCTTGAACTCCTGACCTCAAGTCATCCGCCCACTTCGGCCTCCCAAAGTGCTAGGATTATAGGTGTGAGCCACTGCGCCTAGCCTACATGCCACATTTTCTTTATCCACTCATCTGCTGATGGACATTTAGGTAGATTCCATATCCTGGCTACTGTGCTGTAACACTGGGGTGCAGATATCTCTTCAATATAATCGACTTCTTTCCTTTGGATAAATACCCTGTAGTGGGATTGCTAGATCACATGGCAGTTCTATTTTCAGTTTTTTGAAAAATGAAACCCAGCCTCTCAAAACTGCCTCAGCCCCAAGTGCTGGGAGTACAGGCATGAGCCACTGTGCCCAGTTTTTAGTAATATGTACTGCTCCTCCAGAGCAGAGAGTTTACTTTGTATTTTTTGTTTTTTCTATTGCCTGGTACATATTAGTTATAGGAACAAAATAGAATGCAGAACAAAGAAGCCATATATAAAGTTTAGAACAGCAACAGGCAATAAAAAAATCTACTCGTAGGTATTTTGGTCTCATCATTCATACTTAAATATATCCAATTTGTCCTCCTTGAAGTTAGTGTTTCAGTTTTTAAAACCTGTTTTCCATAATGGCTATAATTTACATTCCAACCAATTTATATGCGTTCCCTTTCTCTGCATCCTGGCCAGCACTTATTGTCTTTTTAATAACATCCATTCTAAATGGGGTAAGATATCTCACTGTGGTTTTGATTCACATTTCCCTGATGATTAGTGATGTTGAGCATTTTTTTCATATACATGTTAACCATCTGTATGTCTTTTGAGAAATGTCTACGCAGGTTCTTTGCCCATTTTTTAATTATTTTGGAGTTTTGGGTTTTTTGCTGTTGAGAACCTTGTATACTCCCTTGTATATTAGCCCTTTAATACTCTGCAAATATTTTCTCCCATTCTATAGGTTCTCTTCACTCCATTCGCTCCTTTGCTGTGCAGAAACCTTTTAGTTTCATATAGTCCCATTTGTGTTTTTGTTTGTAGCCTGTACTTTTGTAGTCTTATTCAAAATCTTTGCCTAGACCAATGTCCTGAAGCATTTCCTGTTTTCTTCTAGTACTTATATAGTTTTGGGTCTGCATTTAACTCTTTAATCCATCTTGACATTTGTATACAGTGAGAGATAGGGGTCTAATCTCACTCTGCATATGTATATGCAGTTCTCCCTGTTCCATTTATTGGAGACAGTGTCCTTTTGCCAATGCATGTTCTTGTTGTCTTTGTTGAAATCAGTTGGCTGAAAAATGTGTGGATTTATTTGTGGGTTCTCTATTCTGTTCCATTGGTCTATATGCCTGCTTTTATACCAGAACCATGATGTTTTGATTACTACTGCTTTGTAGTACATTTTGAATCAGGTAGTGTGAGGCCTCCAACTTTTTAACTGAATTTTTTAGTAGAGGCAAAGGGCCACATGTATACCCTTAACTGATTCAGAGAAAAAATAACTCTACAGGGAGATGGAGGTGGGGGGGAACAGGAGAGGGAGGGTGGAATGTACAAATGATTTTAAAAGTGAGGAAGGTGTTAACATCTGGATAAAGGGGGTATAGGTATTCTTGGCATTATGTATTTATGGCAATTTATCTGTATACTTGAAATTTCTAAGTAAAATGCTGGAAAAGAAGAGTAAAAAGATATCCCTAACCAATGAGCAGTTTTCTTTACAAATAATAATTAAAATCTAAATATTTAGGACACTAAGATCACTCAAACTTATTCAGGTTTTTCTAATGAACAGTTATACAGTATAAATCAGTTTAAAACTTACAATTCAATACACGTTATCAAGTCAAATCCAAGCAAACGAGAGTCTCTCTCCACAACAGACCCATGATACAATGTGATGGTCAAATTTAGATCCCGAGGTTTCAGAAAATCACCCATGAAAGGAGCTAACGTATCCCTGCAAAATAGTTATTGAAGAAACATTCTGAACACGATCTATTTAAAAATTATCACCAGCTACAGAACTCAGATCCTCTGATAATTATCTTCTACCTATGTTGATAGAAGTCTGACATGGCCTGTTTTTCTTGTCTTGATATATTAAATTCCAGGTCATAGGGAAACTTCCAGTCACAATGGGAAGTTACTGGCCAGTGAGAAAAAGACTTTGAATATTTAATATTGTTATATTGTTTTCACTTGTAATAGTTTTGGTTTTCCAGCTTTAGTTTCAATGATTTTCATATTTTTGTTCTTTAAAAGATCATTCTTGAAGCAATCTGTGGAAATCTAATGTATATATGCTATATACACAAGAGATAGGAGAAATGCTACGGTTCAAAATGGAGGCAAAGGCCTGGAGCCTTGGCCTTAGTGTTTTGGAGAATTTTAAATCCTCGGCTATAAATTATCCTAGTGTCTAGCATTAAAGTGATGAGATTTTGAAACTGAATTTGAATATCTGAAATTGAATTTGCAATGCTTCTACTATTATAATCATTTAATTGAGGCTACACTTTAAGTTGGTAGCAATAAAATACAAGTATTTTTAGTGTTACGGCAAATCCTGATCATTCAGTGAGTTGAAGACCCCTAATAGCTCCAATCTTTTAAGACAAATATAAAATCAACACTTTCTCTAAACTCAATAATGTCATTAGTTTTATATTAATGAGTAATTCTTTCAGAAACTAGGTATTACCGTCTCCATCGTAATTTATCCTCATTAATATCTACTCCAACAAGCAATTCAATGCATGGATTGACTTTTAGCAGCCTTAAGAGTGAAGTATCACCACATCCCAGGTCTGCAACCTGTAGATGAGACAGAATGTTATTTCAAAGATATTTACAGCCAGAAAAGTATGATCAAAAACTTTTATTTCTGAGGAGGAGAGAGGGGAGTACATATCAGTAATAAAATAATAAAACCATTATATGGAAGGATTTTTTGGTAGAAGATTCTATACACACACACACACACACACACACACACACACACACACACACAAATTAACCTGAGACTGTATAAGCCCATAGGCAAATTTCTATTTGATCACAGTAAAATAGAAAGGTCCACTCCTATTCCAGAACAACTATTATTGCCTATATTGAACTAATAAAAAACAATTAGGTACATACTGTTTTCCCATTCAGAATCAGAATTTGGAGTCTTAAATATTCTCAGCATATTTCAGCAACAAAGCTTTCTAAAACTTTGCTTTCATCCCTCAAACATTAATTTGATTAAACAATTACCTCAACCATCTGAAATTCCATACTGAACTTTGAGTTGCCAAAAAGCCAATTTTAGATGCCTTACCTGAATACACATGCCTAGATGGTCACAGAGATGTAAACTAATACCTGCACCTTGGTGTGCAAGTGTGAAACAGTAGTGGTGCAGTTAAGGGAAACCTTTACACACAGGAATCTTCACTGAGTCTTCAACATCAAGCAGAAAAAGAAAGCTTTCATCTAGAAATTCACCTTACCTGCATCTAGTTCACATCCAATCCATTAGTATAGTAACCGGGTATGAATATATGTATGTAGGTTGTATGCAATTATGCCTTTACTCTGAAATTAATTGGGAAGGCTCACTATGATCTAATTTTCTTTTTGAGACAGGATCTTGCTCTGTTGCCAAGACTGGAATGCAGGTGATAACAGCTCACTGCAGCCTCAAATTCCTGGGCTCAAGGGATCCTCCCACCTCAGCCTCCTGAGTAACTGGGACTACAGGCACATACCACCATGCTCAGCAATTTTACTTTTTGTAGAGACAGGGTCTCACTATGGTGCCAGACTGGTCTCAAGCTACTCAGCTGCCTCAGCCTCCCAAAGTGCTGGAATTACAGGTGTGAGCCATCACACCCAGCCCATTATCGTCTAATTTTAAAAGAACCACAATACCTGTGGCTACAATACCAGTTTGCCTGGTATTTTTAGAGCATTTTGCTCTAGAAACATGGTACCTACAAGATCACATCCCAGTACAAAAATCTCAAGATTTTCTTCACATTTGAATCGCAATTATGAACTCTACCTCAGCCCTGTGTTTCTGGCATCTGTTAAAGGAATCCACCTATGCTCTGTGTTCCAGGAAAGGGCTCACTGCAAAGAACCACCCTCCTCCATAAAACTTAGATAAGATTCCTTGTGTTTCCATTCTTTGCCTCAAATGATTGGCAGGAATATTTGTCCCCATTGATCAATAGGAAGAAAATTTCTTTTTTAACCATACTTTATTTGAACTTTCCTCCTTCCCCCAGGGCCCTGAACTTTGGCCTGAGGAAACAGTCCCCTCCTTAAGGCTCCCCATTCTACTGTCCTTTCAAACCACCCTTTCATCCCACTTCCCTAGTTTCTAGCTTTTTTTCACTCCTCTAGTAAAAGAAAAATCGCTTTGGCTCAACTCTTGAGACACTTGGGGATCTTGTGGTTACGGCATTCTCCCTATTGCAATAATCCCTGTGAAAAGTCTCTCCACACTAATGCATTTGACAAACCACCTCATAAGACTAGTCTACTAGTCTTAGTAACTGAATGTTTGAAAAGAGAAAAAATACCTACCTTCTTGGGCTCATGTTGCTCCACTAAATTTTTAACAAACTGGTACCGCTGCCTGTATAGTGGAGGTTTAAACTGAATGACCGTCTCCCTAGGAACTTCTTCAAAATTACCGTCAATCACACTACTGCACTAAAGTTCACAAACAAAAAAAGATGGGTTCTAAATCATGCATGACTTCAGAAATTAAATAAAGAAAACCCTTAGTTTCCCCCAATCACTTCGAAAAACACACTGGCCTTCACATACCCCTTGTCTTAAAATCATTAGGGAACACTGTTTCCTCCACAGTTCATCTAAGCACCCTTTCATGCCTTTTAATAAGTGAGAATCTGGCTCTATGCTCCCTATAGCTTAGTTTCAACTGAAGGGAACATTACTAATGAATGTATTCAATGAAAACAACTAGAAGCCTCCAAGCCACAAGGGACCTTTTGTGGAGTGAGTTGCCAAAGCCTGTGGTCCAGATAGATAGGAGGCTGGAAAATATTTATAATGACTAACACACACACACACACACACACACACACACACACACACAAACACACACACACACACACAAACACACACACTCTCCCTTACACTTTTTTTCTTCAAGACAACTCTTGCTCTGTCACCCAGACTGGAGTGCAGTGGTGTAATCTCGGCTCACTGCAACCGCTGCCTCCCTCCCGGGTTCAAGCAATTCTCTACTGCCTCAGCCTCCCGAGTAGCCAGGATTACATTACAGGCACACGCCACTATGTCTGGCTAATTTTTGTATTTTTAGTAGAGACAGGTTTCATCATGTTGGCCAGGCTCTTCTTGAACTCCTGACCTCATGATCCATCTGCCTTGGCCTCCCAAAGCAGTGGGATTACAGGCATCAGCCACCATGCCCGGCCAACACTCTTCTCTTTTTAAGAGAAATGGGGTCTCACTATGTTGCCCAGGCTAGATTAAGACTCCTGGGCTCAAGCAATCCTCCCACCTCAGCCTCCTGAGTAGGTGGGCATCTGTAGGAACATTCTACCATACCAGCAAAAGACTCTCTCCCTGACCAAACTTTAGTCAGGTTTCTGAGCCATCTTCTTGAACAGACCTCAATCCTGGCCCCAAACTGGTCCTTGGGCTGCCTAGCCCAATTTTAACAAGAGTACTTCTAAGTCAGTTTAGGCAGAATCTTCTACCCCTGATATCTGATCACCCTTAATAGCTGGTCAAATTTTTCATCCTTGCAATGTCCTTATTGCAACAGTCTTCAGTAAAGTCAGACTAATTTTTTATTTAACATGACCCCAAGAAAAAACTGAATTTATAAGATTAATCTGGAACAGTTGTTACTCTGTTCCATTATAAAACAGTCCAGAGGATATCTGATATCTAGTATAGCACTGTCCAATAAAGATAAAATACAAGTAGGCAATTTTCTTGTAGCCCAAGGATTGTAATTATAATTGGAATTAGAATATTTAGCCCAATATATCAAAAATATAATTTCCACATAAAATCAATATAAAAGTGAGATTTTAGATTCTTGTTTTACATATTAAGTCGTCAAAATCCAGTGAGCTATGTATTTTGTACTTCTGCATTTCGATTCCAAAATGTTCATCAAAAACAGTTGTCTGTATTGGATTTCAAAAACTTATTTAAAATATACACTCACACACTCAAATTATTCCAAACATACTTTTTTTCCAATAATGAAATCAAATATCCATTTTTAAACTTAAAATTAAAAATGAAGTTACGAGCCTAGGTGGTCAGCACTGCATGAGTCGTTATTGGGCCAGTGCATTCAAGCCTGGGCAACAGAGCAAGACCCTGTCTTAAAAAAAAAAAAAGTTAAAGTTCAGTTCCTTAGTTCCACTAGCCACATTTCAAGGGCCCACTTGCCATGTGTAGCTACTGGACAGCAGGAAGCTATAACCTAGACACTCCCAGTGTGGTTTCCAAACCAGTGGCATCTTCACCTAGAAACTTTCAAAACACAAAAGCTTGGGCCTCACCCTAGACCTCCTTAAACAGAATCTGCAGCTTATCAAAATCCAGGGTGATCCAGATGCAGGATCACATTTGGGAAAACACTACTTAGAGTGTTTTTAAAATAGATTTTGCTACTTTAACAACTAGTGATAAAAACAAAAACATTTTACTTACATACACCAAATGTGAATCTTTCATCTAAGTATACTCTTGTTTACCTCAACCAACACTGCAGGAAATGTTAAGACCTAAATGTGATTAATTTTGCTTGCAATTATCTCACAATACATACAGGTAGTAATTCTTTTTTATTTTTTTGAGACAGATTTTCACAATGTCACCCAAACAGGAGTGCAGTAGTGCAATCTCGGCTCACTGCAACCTCTGCCTCCCGAGTTCAAGCAATTCTCCTGCGTCAGCCTCCTAAGTAGCTGGGATTTCAGGCGCCCGCCACCACGCCCCGCTAATTTTTTGTATTTTTAGTAGACATGGGGTTTCACCATATTGGTCAGGCTGGTCTCGAACTGCTGACCTCAAGTGATCCACCCACCTTGGGCTCCCAAAGTGCTGGGATTACAGGCGTGAACCACCAAGCCCGGCCTCATCCAGGTGGTAATTCTTAAGAGTCAAATAAACAGCTAAGAAGCGTGGCATTACCTGTAACTTGTTTTCTTCCATTTTGTTTCCACGTTTTGTTGAAACAAACATGAAGATTTATCCTGCAGGCTCTATTTGAGAGAATCAGCACTGACTCAGCTGTAATAAATACAAAACCGTTTTTTGTTTTTTTTGTTTTTTTACAAAACCGTTTTTGTAAAGAAACACCTGAAGGAATTAACTGCCTAGTTCAGTAGGGAAGAACGAAAGTCTCTTTCTTACTCCTTACTTACTACAGTATATAATTTAAATAGAACGCTTAAAAGTAAATAACGAATTCACCACTGGGTACTCAAAAAAAAAAAAAAAAAAACGAAAGCAGGATTGGAACAGATATTTATATACCGAAGTTCACTGCAGCATTATTCACAGCAGCCAATCTGTGGATTAAATGTAGTCTACGTTTAACCCACAGAATGTATCAAGTATTTTTTCAGACATTCGCAAGCAGGCTCAGAAAGCCTAACTTTTCACTACGTCAAACCCTGCTAAGAGCAACACACATTCTTTCCCTTTACCATCATTAACAGTTAAATTTGATACAAACGGAACAATCTTAGGGGTTCTGCCCATTTCATTGCTAAAAGCCTCAACTTCGAATTTTTTCAAAAACAATTTTTCCACACATGGTCAAAATGAAATTTCGAGGCGGGGGAGACATTGCCCTGATAAGCCAGGGGTACCCCAACATCTATCCAATTCACTCACGATCTTGAATTTAAATTTTGGTTCTCTATGGCACGTGTCTCCATCAACTAGACTTTAGACTGAAATTTAGGCAACTTGTTAGTCACCAACTTGTAGCAGGAAACCGTGTTCGCTGGAGCCAACGCTTCTGTCTTTGTACCGGCCGTCGCTTCCATCACCTTGCAGTAAAGAGCACGCCCAACCGGAAAAGCGAAGCCCGGCGCGGAGCAGCCAGCGTCTTCAACGCTGGGCGCCGCCCTGACGCCCGCGCACGCGCAGCCTCGCTGCGTGACGCTACCGCCGCCGCCACGCCTGCGCCCGCACCTAAGCCTAGGCCGCCCTCAGGGGCTCGCCAGCCTCGTGCACTCTCACCGTCAGCCCTGGGCCCCGGGAGCCTTATGGTGCGCTGGGCGCCGTCCCTCTAGGGTCTCGGCTCCCAGGCGTCGGTTTTGCGTATCGTAACGGCCGCCGTGGCGCATGCCCGGAAGCCATTTTCAAGGTCCTCGCCCGAATCTTGGCGACGACCACTTGCGTCCGCCGCGCCGCGTACCCAGCCAGCGCGCGGCTGAGACCCGGGCCGGCGCGGCGGCTGTTGGCGAAGGCCCCCGGCTCCGAGCGCGTCCCCAGACCGCGAGCAGGAAGGCGGCTCGGGCGGCTGTTGGACTCGTAGCGCTCCCGAGGCGCGGCAAAGGCCTAAAAAATGGTCCCGGCCAGCGGAAGGCGGCAAGAGGAGTAGCCAGGCTCCACGCGAGGCAGCCGGTGGCTGGATCCCAGAGCAGTCCACCGGAGCCTTAAAGAACTCTACGCTGAGTGAAGTTGGCCCGGTGACACCTGCGCTTAGAAAAGCATTATTACCGCTCCCAGCGCCCAACTCCCCACCCCCAAACCGAGGTTTCCCCGAATGCTGTGAATAGAACTGTCGATCTCTTAGAAGAGTTATGGTATCCTGCCCTCCTTCCCTCTGGAGACTACTTAATATATATAAGTACTTACTTTCCTGTATGTGACGGAAGAGTATACAGGGTGACGGGAGGGACGAAGCTGCCTTCTTTAGGGGAAAAAAGATTGACTTCTATTTTAAAAGATAAAGCTGGTGTTTTTACTACTGAATTAATAGCCTATTAATGTGCCATAAATGATATATTGGAGCTGTATTTTCAAACATTTAACACCTGTATGCAAAGCACTATGCTAACGGCTCTAGGGTAACGGAAAGATAAATTACACCAATCTTGTTTTTGGTATTTGGGGGAGTCTACTTCCATAGTTAAGAAGTACATAACTAAAGATTAAGCTTCAAAAATTCAAGTATAGGGCCCGGCATAGTGGCTCCTGCCTGTAAGCCCAGAACTTCGGGAGGCAGGCAGATCACTTGAGCCCAGGAGTGTGAGACCCTGTCTCTACCCAAAAAAAAAAAAGAAATTAGCTGGGCATGGTAGTGCTTCCTGTGGTCTCGACTATTTGGGAGGCTGAGGCGGGAAGATCACTTGAGCCCAGGAGTCCCAGGCTGCCGTGAGCTATGATTGCACCACTGCCCTCCAGTCTGGGTGACAGAATCAGACCATGTCTCAAAAGAAAAACGCAATAATACTTTCATATTATACTTTGAGAGGTCCCTGTTGACTTAGGAAAACTAGTTTTAGCAGACTGTCTTCATTAAAGGAGTGTACACCTTGCTACAGGATGTAATTTAAAAAGAACGTTTCAGAGTAAATAATAAATTCATTTCTGGGTATATACTCAAAACAGGAATTGAAACAGGTTTTGGACACCAGAGTTCACAACAGCATTATTCACAGTAGCCAAAATGTGGAAACAACCCGAATGTCCATTAAAGAATGAATGAATAAACAAAATGTGATATAGACATACAATGAGATATTCAGCCTTTATTTTTCCAATCACAGAGTTTCAGGAAAATCAGCCTTTAAAAGGACTGAATTTCTTTTTTTTTTTTTTTCAGTCTGCAAAATGTTTAATGTTTAAAATACATTCTCACAACATTGAATGTTAAAATGTTTAAAGCATCTGATTTACCCACAACAGCAAATGATATATGACTGGCCCTCAAGAAAGTCAAGTCCCATGCATATAATATACAAAGAAAAAATATTAGAACAAAAATAACATTTCTAACATAAAGATACAGTATCTGTTAACATCTCTAAGTTTCTTAGTATGTCATGTCTTCATGCCTTTGCCTTTTTTCAATTAAAAAAATACTAATATCTTTAAAGAGTTTGAAGTCTTCAAGAAAGTCATTCCAGAGGAACAGACTCCTATTGTTAAAAGAAGAAAAACATCATCACCAAGAGGTACGAGCTGGAAGAAAGTCAGCTTTTTAATTTCATGTTTGCAGTTGTACTTAACACATGTAAAAATACTAGTATCTTTTAAGCCACAGTGGCTATGGAGGAAATCATTTCAGAGATGGATCCTCCAAGTAGAAGCTGTATGCATGGCTCAGTGAGTCAAGAGAAAATAGAGGGAAAAAATACCTTTAACCTACACACATGGAAGATGGTTGAGTCAGTGTATTTTTATGAAGACTCCAGAGAAAATATATATACACATATTATGAACAAAACATGTCTTAAAGAAAATATTTAATTCAGTGTGAAGTTGATCTGTAATATAATCTCTGCAAGATTAGACCACCTGAGAGCCTCCCAGAATGAAAAGGACTGAAATTCTAACATTTGCTGCCACATGGATAAATCTCGATGGCATTATGCTGAGTGATATAATCAATCACGAAAGGACAAATATTGCATGATTCCATTTATATGAGGTACCTAGACTAGTCAGATTCATAGAGACAAAGTAGAATGGTGGTTGCTGTGGGCTGGGAGGAAGAGGGAATTGAGAGTTGTTTAATAGGTACAGAGTCTCAGTTTGGGGTGATGGAGAAGTTTTCTAGATAGTGAGGATGGTTGCACTGAACTTAATGCCACTGAACTTAAAATTTGTTAAAATGGTTTTATGTATATTTACCACGGTTTCAAAAATTTAAAGGAAAATTTAAAAATTAAAATTTATATATATAGGATTCCTGGATCTAGGCTGGTTGACCCATTTATCAACTTGAACTCCTCACGTCCAGTTCCCTCTCCCTGCCTATTTCATCATTCTCCTGCCCTCCTACTCTGAGAGTCTGAAAAATCATCTTTGACTCTATCCACTTCTGTCCTTCCCACACTTGGACAATCACCAAATTTTGACCTCTTCAAGCTGTCACCCACCATCTGCTCCTGCCCACAGCTAATAGCTTAGCCTTTGTCATCTCATCTTGTTATTATAACTCATCTTTCCTTCCTCCACCAGGTAATCCCACTGAGTTACAGATCATGTAACGTCTTTTTAGAGTGAATCTGAAGTCAAATAGGCCTTAAATCCTGATTTTACTATTACTGCATAACCTTTGGAAGTTCACATTCTCTCTGAGTGTTAGGGTTTGGGTTTTTTTTTAAATTGAAAAATAGCAGTTAAATGAGATTACTTATTTGGTAAATGTGTATAGAGCATTTATTATGGATCAATTACTCGTCTGAATTAAAAAGATAAAGGTCCTTTCATAGCTTTTTTTTTTTTTTTTGAGACGGAGTTTCGCTCTTGTTACCCAGGCTGGAGTGCAATGGCGCGATCTCGGCTCACCGCAACCTCTGCCTCCTGGGTTCAGGCAATTCTCCTGCCTCAGCCTCCTAAGTAGCTGCGATTACAGGCACGTGCCACCATGCCCAGCTAATTTTTTGTATTTTTAGTAGAGACGGGGTTTCACCATGTTGATCAGGATGGTCTCGATCTCTTGACCTCGTGATCCACCCACCTCGACCTCCCAAAGTGCTGGGATTACAGGCTTGAGCCACCGCGCCCAGCCTCCTTTCATAGCTTTTACAATCCAGCAGTTGTAGGTGTCTGGCACAGAATGGGTAATCAAAAGTTATCCTGGGTGGAGTAAGATGGCTCATGACTAATCCCAGCAGTTTGAGGGGCTGATACAGTAGCATGGCTTGAGGCTAGGAGTTCAAGACCAGCCTGGGCAACATAGTGAGACCTGTCTCTACAAAGAAAACAGCATTATCTGGGTGTACTGGCAAGCACCTGTACGCCTAGGTACTCAGGAGGCTGAGGCAGGAGAATTGCTTGAGCCTGGGAGTTGAGGCTGCAGTGAGCTGCGATCATGCCACTACACTCCAGTCTGGGCAACAGAGTGATACACTGTCTTAAAAAAAATTAATTTCAAAAAAAAATTTTTTGAGACGGAGTCCTGTTCTGTCACCCAGGCTGGGGTGCAGTGGTGCAATCTCTGCTCACTGCAACCTCCACCTCCCGGGTTGAAGCGATTCTCCTGCTTCAGCCTCATAAGCAGTTGGGGTTACAGTCACGTACCACCATGCCTGGCTAATTTTTGTATTTTTAGTAGAGATGGGGTTTCACCATGTTGCCGGCTGGTCTCAAACTCCTGATCTCCAGTGATCCACCTGCCTCGGCCTCCCAAAGTGCTGGGATTGCAGGTGTGAGCTGCCTTGCCTGACTAAAAATAAATTTTTAAGTTATCCTAGATGCCAGCTTGAGCCTGATGCTTAACAAGATGGAACATTTGGAGGTCTTGAGAAGAGGGTGATTGTATATTGCATATAAGAGGAATATAAACAGTTTTCTGTCCAGAAGATTGTAGCAGATTAAGATCCATGAATTCCTTCTCATCTATTGAGAGAAATGGGGTCTATTTCTTCTCCTTTTGAATCTGTATGGGTTTTGCAATTTCACCAATGAATAGAATACCTCAATGCCAGTTTCTGGATCTAAAACTTAAGAAACTAGCAGCTTCTACTTCCTGTTTCTTAACACATCCATTCTTGGAACCCAAATGACATTCTGTGAAGACTAAGGGGCCCCATGGAGAGGCCCACATGGAGAAAAACTCAAATCTCCCCTCACCCCCTCTCAAAGGCTGTCAGCCAGCACCACCTTGTCTTGCCAGCCATGTGAGTGAGCCATGTTGGAAGTGAATCCTCCAGGCCCTGTGAGCCACTTAAACTAACTGCCTGAAGACAGCAGTTCTGTCCACAAGCACAGAGAGCTGGAAGCACCTGAAAATTGATGTTTTCCTAGGTAGTGCTTTGCCAATGACTGACTGGTGTAGATGTGTAAAAGTCCAGCTCCCTGATTTCAGACTTCTGGCCTCCAGAACTGTCAGAAAATAAGTTTTTGTTGTTTAAGCTATCTAGTCTGTGGTATTTTATTTTGGCCACCCAAGCAAGCTGATAACTCTGAATTATGTATATAACTGAATAATAACTGATAAAGCAATAAGATCACATTTGGAGCATCTTCTCTATCAAGCAAGAAACAAAAATGTCCTCTCACCTTATCAGTATTCTACAGGTTAACCTCTAACTTCTCAGAGTTGTTAACTGTTTGGACCTTTGCTTGTAGGGAGCGACTCAGAGAAAGTTACAATCCCCAAGAGAGCCATATGTCTGTGAGACAAGCATGTTATTAAAATGTCAGCCATGTGCAGTGGCTCATGCCTGTAATCACAGCTCTTTGGGAGGCTGAGGTGGGAGGATCACTTGAGGCCAGGAGTTTGGGACTAACCTGGGAAAAACCCGTCTCCAAAAAAAATTTAAAATAATTTTAAAGTTAAATACTGTGAAATAATCCACTTCCAAGTGTTGGATATTTTTTCTGCATAGT